TGTGTTAGTTTGGATAGGTAATTTGTTTCTTCTATCCATTTCTTTATTCATGTCTTCTAGATTTTCAAATTTGTTGGAGTAAAGGTATTCACAGTATGCTGCTATTATCCCTTTTTATTTCAGTAGATTCTGTTGTGATGTTACCTATTTCATTTCTTATTCATGTTATTTGCATCTTCTCCTTCTTATCCTGTTAAATTTGCCAGTGGTTGGTCAATTTTATTAATTCTTTCAAAGAACTAACTTCCAGTCTAGCTGATTTTACTGTTCTTCTGTTTTCTGTTCCAATTTATTTCTGCTTGAGTATTATTTTATTTCTTCTGGTGACTGTATGCTTTTTTGCTGTTCTTTTTCTAATTGTTGAAGATGTTGGGTTAAGGTGTTGATTTTAGTTTTTTCTTCTATTATGAAATCTGTGCTTATTGCTATAAGTTGTCCTCTGAGTACTGCTTTTGCTATTTCCCAAAGATTCTGTTGTGTTTTCATTCTCATTTGAGGAATTTTTTTCATTTCATTTTTAACTTCTTCTATTACCCACAAGTTTTTAAACAAGTGTTATTTTCTTGTATTCAATATTTTTCTCCTTGATCTGCCTGTTTCTTTCTTCATGGCACTGTGATGTAAGAAGATGCTTTGTAGTATTTAGATGTTTCTAAATTTATTGAGGTTTGCTTTGTGGCCTAACATATGGTCTATTCTGGAGAATGCTCCATGAACAATGGGGAAAAAATGTGTATTGTGCTTTGTCTTAGTCTGGAAGCTGCGCTGAAACCTGTCCACCATAGTAACCTTGTTGGCATTTGAAACACTGGTGGCATAGCCTCCAACATCACAGCAACACACAAGCCACTGCACACAGTATGACAAACTGATAAATTTGTCTCCCTTAGTTGTTCCAAACTACTCTGCTTACTTCCTAGCCTCCCTAGCTATTCTGGCCCACTGCCAACTCCCACTTCCCTTCCTGGCCTCCCCTAGCAGTTCCGTCCCAACCCCGGCTATCACTTCCTTCCCTGGCCTCTGCTAGCAATTCCCACCGCCGGCTCCCACTTCCTTTCCTGGCTGCAGCTCAATATCTTCAGCAAAAATAAGGCCAGGAGATTACTGTGGAACAGACCATCAACTGCTCAAGCTGATGCAGCAAGTTGAAGCTGAAGACAATTAAAACAAGTCCAAGAGAGCTATAATATGACTTTGATTATATCCCTCCTGAATTTAGAGACTATCTAAAGAACAGATTTGATGCACTGAACACCAATGACCAAAAACCAGATGAATTGGGGGATGACATGAAGAACATCATCCATGAAGAAAGCAAGAGGTCATTAAAAAGACAGGAAAGGAAAAAAAGACCAAAATGGATGTAAGGAGACTCTCTGAAATGTGCTCTTGAATTGAGAGTAGCTAAAGTAAATAGAAGAAATGACAAGATAAAAGAGCTGAACAGAAGATTTCAAAGAGCAGCTCAAGAAGACAAAGTCAATTACTATAATGAAATGTGCAAAGACCTGGAGTTAGAAAACCAAAAGGGAAAAACACATTCGGCATTACTCAGGGTGAAAAGAACTGAATAAAAAATTTAAGCATCGAGTTGCAATACTATGCAATTCTATGGGTAATATATTGACTGATACAGGAAACATCAAAAGAAGATGGAAGGAATACACTGTACCAAAAAGAACTGATCGACTTTCATCCATCTCAGGAGATGACATATGATCAAGAACCAATGGTATTAAAGGAAGAAGTCGAAGCTGCACTGAAGGAATTGGTGAAAAACAAGGCTTCAGGAATCGATAGAATACCCACTGAGATGTTTTAATAAATAGATGCTGTACTGGACACACTCACTCAGCTATGCCAAGAGATGTGGAAGATAGCTCCCTGGCCAACTGACTGGAAGAGATCGATATCTGTATTTATTCCAAAGAAAGGTGACCCCAAAGAATGTGGAAATTATCGAACAATATCATTAATATCACATGCTAGTAAAATCTTACTGAAGATAATTCAAAAATGATTGCTGCAGTATATTGACAGAGAACTTCCAGAGGCGCAAGCTGGATTCAGAAGAGGATGTGGAACCAGGGATATCATTGCTGATATCAGATGGATCTTGGCTGAAAACAAAGAATACCAGAAAGATGTTTACTTGTGTTTTATTGACTATCAAAAGTATTTGAGTATGTGGATCGTAACAAATTATGGATAACACTGAGAAGAATGGGAATTCCAGAACATTTCATTGTGCTCATCAGGAACCTGTACAAATACCAGGAGGCTGTCGTTCAAACAGAACAAGGGGACACTGCATGGTTTAAAATCAGGAAGGGACTGTGTCAGCGTTGTAACATTTCACCATATTTATTCAATCTGTAAGCTGAGCAAATAAGCAAGAAGCCAGACTATATGAAGAAAAACATGGCATTAGGCTTGAAGGAAGACTCATTAACACCCTGAAATATGCAGACAACACAACTTTGCTTGCTGAAAGTGAGGACTTACAACACAACTTTGCTTGCTGAAAGTGAGGACTTGAAGCATTTGCTGATAAAAACTGAACACTACAGTCTGCAGTATGGATTACACCTAAATATAAAGAAAACAAAAATCTTCACAACGGGACCAATAAGCAGCATCACAATAAATGTAGAAAAGACTGAAGTTGTCAAAGACTTCATATTACTTGGTTCTACAACCAACAACAATGGAAGCAGCAGTCAAGCCATCAGGTAACATACTGCATTGGGCAAATCTGCTGCAAAAGATCTCTTTCAAGTGCTGTGATAGCCGGAGCTGTGTGTCAACTTGACTGGACCCCAGTTCTTTGTGGTTGTTCCCATGATGGGATCGGATGACTGTGTTCTGAGTGGCCGATCTGCCCAAGGGGAGTTTCCCTAGGGGTGTGGCCTGCTTCCAGGATATCCAGGGACATCCTGGGAAGAGGGACATTCTTCTGTGGATCAGGATTCTGTTGTGCTGCCTACAATTGTCTGTGAGTGAGCAGTCCACTGTTCAGCCTGGAGATCTTGGATTCGTCATTCATCGGAGTCAACAGCCGGTGTACTGCCTGCAGCCTTGAGCTTCTCAGCCCCCTGTGGGGAAAAGCCTCCAGCCTGACGTTTACTTCAGGGACTCTGGACTTGCTGGCTTCTATACGTTTGTGAGCTATTTTCCTAACATAAATTTCTCTGCCTCTTTAATAAGCTTTGCTGGTTTTTGTCTCTCTAGAGAACCCAGTCTAACACAAGTGCTGAAGAGCAAAGATATCTCCTTAAAGACTAAGTTGTGCCTAACCCAAGCCATGGCATTTTCAATCACCTCATAGGCATGTGAGAGCTGGACTATGAATAAGGAAAACCAAAGAAGAGTTGATGCTCTTAAGCTGTGGTGTTTGTGAAGAATACTGAAAGTACCATGAACTGCTAAAAGAACTAACTAATCTGTCCTGGATGAAGTACAGTCAGAATGCTCCTCCTTTGGCCATACCTCATCTCACCTGCTTTGGTCATGTTGTCAGAAGATAGCATTCCCTGGAGAAAGATATTATGTTTGGTAAAGTGAAGGGTCAATGAAAAAGGGAAAGGCCCACAACAAGATGGAGTGACACAGTGGCTGCAATGATGGGCTCAGGTATATAAGGATCATGGGGCTGGCACAGGACCAGGTAGTATTTTGCTCTATTGTACATAGGGTCACTATGAGTCCGAAATGATTTGATGGCATCTAACAACAAACAACAATCACAGAGCTTTTTGAATGTATTATCTTCTTGTCTTTCATGATATTAGGGAATTTTTCTTCCAAGAAATCTTCAATAATTTTCTCAATGCATTTTGGTCACTTGTTCTGGAATGCTGATCACATGTAAGTAATTCCTCTTGATGGTATCCCACATAATTTTTAGGCTTTCTTGGGTTTTGTTTTTGTTATTTTTTCTGATTGCTCATCTAACAGATTAGCGTTAAGGGATTTGTCCTGAACCTCACTAGATCTGTCTTCCACTGATTCAATTCTACTCCCATGTCCTTACAATGTTTATCTATTTTTGAAATTTTAGTATTAATCCATTGGATTTATATTTGCTATTTTTCTATGATTCCAAATTTTCCATTTATTTTGTCAATTTCATTTTTTTGTTTTGTTTTTGAAAGCTTCTAGACTTTTGTGTGTAGTTTCCTTAAACTTTCTCTCAATCCACTGAAAGTACCTAAATATAATTCTTTTGAATTCCTTTGCAGGTAGTGCCAATAACATCTTTTCATCAGGAAAATATTCTGGCCTTGTATTTTGGTCATTTATTTGAAGGGCAGCCAGTATTTGGAATGAAAAAGAAAGAAAGAAAGAAAAAAAAGAGCCAGGGAAGAGGAAAGGAAGAAAAGAAAAGAAAAAAGAGAAGGAAGGAGGAAGAATTAAGCAGAGAAATAAAGGAGGAAAAAGAAAAAGCTGCATAGCAATAGGGGTGGGAAATGATATGTCTCTGGCCATCTGGAGGTTGTGCAAAGTAAGGAGGAAGGTCACTTCTCTGTGGTCACTTCATCACCAATGTGATTGCTGGTTCCTGCTCCAATTGGAACACTGCTTGCAGTAATTCAAAATGGCTATGCTGTGCCATTTGGCAGTTTACTGCTCATTCACTGTTTCACTCAGCCTTTCTCTCACTGGTATTGATCTACTTCTGTATTCTTTCCTTTAAAGCTGTGGGTTCCTGGACTGTATCCGTATCAGTGTCATTTGGTTTCTCGAGTCTTTGTCATAACGGGTCTGGGTAATGTATCTGTCTAGGCTGCCATCTTGGATCCTCCCCCTTTAAGTTTTAAATTTTATTTCATATCAGCATTAAATGTTAAATATTTTTAAAGAATTTTATTCACAAATCAAATATCCTTGGGTAATATATTTGTCGAAGTATATTTAGACTGAAGTAAAATCCATACACACACACAAACCAGTTTTAACATAAAATCAAGAACATCATAAGTTAAAAATATGTACTTTACCTTGTGTAAGCCTGCTGTGGGATATTTCTTCTTGTCGTTGTCTCTCCTAAACAGAAATGGAAGGCCAAGATTGGCAAAAGTGGGTACATTGGTAAACAAGGTTTTAATATTTTTCTTTAGAAATTATTACCTATTACAAATGATTCTTAATAAATTTAAGTAAAGCAACAAAACTAGATAAGTAAAATGGATGGCTACATTTACATAATTTTTCTAGTTAATAGAGGTCCTCTGTTGGCATTTTAAAAACTTTTCAAAATTTAATCAATCAGCATTGTAGTTTTTTAATTAATTTTAAAAAAAATCACACTGAGTGCCATCATTAATTATATAGTTTGGCCAGTCTGAAAATAATTTAAAATACTGGAAAGATGGGAGGTAAACAAGTAAAATAACAAAATATACAGAGTCATCTGTTAACTGGTAAAAGTTCATTCTCTCTCAAAATAAAAATTCAATAGAATTCTTTCATATAACAGTAGATTTTATTGAAGAGCGGTATTCTGGTTACATAGTGCCACTCTGACAAGAATACACTACCAATGAGATGCCTTTAACAAACAGGAGTTTATTCTCTTGCAATTTTGAAAGCTTTAAGTCCAAGTTCAAAGCAATAGGCTCTAGGGGCAGAATGAAAGCCCCTCAACCTTGGGCTTCAGCTCTGCCTCCTGCTCCAAGCCCACTGAAGCTGGAGGCTTTTCTTCACTCAGACAGCTGGTGGTTGCTGATGCCTGCTGGTGGCTGCTGAGGCTGGCAAGCCCAAGGTTGATCAGTAAAAAGGCACAGCCCCAATGTGAACAAATAACATGGCAGGCTACTAATTCAAGTCCAAAGGATGTCCCAAGATAGGCAGAGCATGGCAGGCAGTTGAACAATGACTTGGCTACATGCAAGGCTCAAGCATGCCAAAAGGCTAGAGACTGTTCCCAAAGCTTCTCCTTATATACAGGAAGCAAACCACATCTCTAAAGCAGCTACTCAGCTGCTCACAGTAGATTCCATGACAGAGATGATTACCAGTCTCATCATGCAGAATACTACATCCAGCTGCCCAGCCACTCAACCAGGCCCAGTCAAGTTGACACACAAACTTAACTACCACAAGCAGAGGTGACAAAACAGACACACAATGAGCTCTTAATAAAAAGAAGCCTACCAACCATTACAGACTCTTTCCATTTCTCATGAATGACTTTAGCCAGATTCAAATCTATATGAACCACACAATCATCAACTGTTAGAGACCCTTGTGAGTGGAGAAAAAGAAAATAAAATCATTCATTATACATGTAAATGTAATCAACCACCTTATACATCACAAAGCTAATTTATATTATTAATTCCTAATCCACATTTCTTGTTACTAAATTTCTTGGAATACTTTTGTTTATATAATTATGCCACTGCTTTCACATGTCTAAGCTGGTTCAATTATACAATGCTTTATAATAATCTATTATAAACAATGTTGTTGTTGTTGTTAAGTGCTGTCGAGTCGTTTCATTATAAACAATATTGCATTAAAGTTTAATTTACATTTCCATTAGTCTAAATATACTTAATTTCTTCATTTCCACTAGTTGACACTTTTCAATACCTGTGTCCTACAGAATTAATCTTCCCTTAAATGTATCTAAAGGAGCTCTGGTGGCACAGTGGTTAAGGCATTCTGTTGTTAACCAGAAGTTCAGGAGTTCAAATCCACCAGCCACTCCTTGGGAGAACAATGGCCTGTTTCAGTAAAGATTTACAATCATGTAAACCCTATGGGGCAGTTCTACTCTGTCCTATAGGGCATTCTGAGTCAGAATTGACTCAATGGCAGTGGGTTTTTGGGCTTTAATTAAGTGTATCTGGAGTAGCACCAAAGGACTAAAAAAGTTTCATTTGTACAAATGAGTATGAGGTAAATATGAAAGAAAACTTTCAATATATTCATGGGTTACACACAAACTCCATATAAATACTTCCCATTTCTTCAAAATTATGTTTTTAAAAATCCTCTGCAAACATACTGCACCAAAAATAATGTACTATGTGTCATCCAGCAACACAGATACCTTTTAAGTTTCGGTTAACATATCAAATAATTTTATAATCAAAATAGAACCAGCTAAATTGTAGTCACACTAAGACATGCATGTAGATATTTTACTTTTCCTTACCTGAATCAATACCAACAGGGCCAAATAATTCACTGAGCTGAAAAGCCAACTCAGGGGGTAATGCCAATTCCAGACAGTCTATGGTCAGAGATTTGGCCATCCCTGAAGTGGAAGTCAACATCTCAGTTTCATCTTCTTTACTAACTCCAGCTGACAAACTATTCCCTAGCATTAGCATTTTCTCCATTTCCTGCATATCTTCATCCATAAATTCTTCTGTGTTTATCTGAAATTTCACATAATCTTCTGAAAGATTTTCATTTGTCTTAACCTCAAGAGGGTCAGTAAAATAAATTTCTTCATCTAATTCAAGATTTGAAGTGCTTGATACAGAGTTTAAAATATCAGACAAATGCAAAGAAGAATGTGTACTGTCTCCAATCTCTGTGGCTACTAGACTCTTTTCTATTTCACTCACATCACTAGTGGTAGTAGCTTTTAAAGCACCTGCCAAAGAATGGCTACTGCTATACAACCCTGAAAATTCTCCCTGACTATTAGGAAGTGGTTCACTAGCATTCTTTAGATCTACAACAGCATAAGGAGATAAAGCTCTAATTTCTGCCTGTACTGAGTTTCCCTTTTCCCCATCACAGGGAGATTGCGCAGTAGTGTTACTGATATCAATTCCATGCCTAAATTCCAGTGCAGAAGAAGTAGAACCCTCTGAAGTCTCTTCTGGGCTAATAATTTCCTTCAAATCTAATCCCAGAGAAAATGGCCCAGTTTGTGATTCACTATTTGATGTTTGAAAATTGTCAGATTCAGTATCCTCACATAATTTACTTTCAGAATCTAACAAAAGGCTTGTGGCCCAAACAATATCTTTGTTACACCTCTCATATAAGTCTTTCAGGGCTTCTGCTGAAAAAGATCCAAATATTTTACAAAGAATATTAAGATTTTCAGATTCATCAGCACTGGTAAGCTCACTTTCTTCGACATATGTGCTTTTATCATGCATCACTCTATATGGAATTGCTTTTTGAACATCTGATTTTATGTTAATATTGAAGGCTTCTGGTTTAAAACCTTCTGATCTTCCTATTAATACTCTGACAGAATCTGAAACACTAATTTTATTCTTTTCTATTTTCCATAGGAGAGCAAAATCCTGTGGTTCAGTCTGGGTACACACGCCAATTTCTATTCCAGGAACTCTTTTAGACGTCTCCTCTGGAAATTCAGCTAAAATCTGTGGCTCCACTACTCCAGGAACAATGGCAGCACTACTGGTAAAAGACACACACAGTGTATGCTGCCCATGATTCTTTTCACTTAGACAAATCTTATTCTCCTGGGTCACTTCACCAGATAGCATTTCAGAACTACCTACAGTGGAGCTACCCAATGTTTCTGGTTCTTCAGGGTTTGTGCCCCAACAGTCCTTGTGCGCTGTGTATATGGACATTTCACTCATTTTGTCTTTGCCAAATTCTAGATCAGGTTGATTGAAACGAGCCTTTGCCATTCTTGATCTGGGCTGTCTCTGAGCTAAAGAAGGCCAGTCACTCACAATGTTGAATGAGTTTGACATATTATTTTCAGAATTTGTGAAGGTATCATTTTTACAGCTATTGAAGGATTCTGAAGCATCCTCACACTGTGACTTCTTGTCATCCTCAACGAAATCAAGTGGAAACTTCTGTTGCTGGATATAATCTAAATCCAGAGATGTGCTATTACCTATTAGTTTGTGTGACTGGAGATAATTATACTTTTTGTCACTTTGTTCAGATAAAGCTTTTTCAGTTTTGTGGTTCCTTTTTGTCCTCTGACCCACTGTCTTTTCAACTGGCCAATCACCAACAAAATTTGATAGCTCATGTCCATGGAACTTTTCCAAAGTTGATTTGTTTTTTTGGTTCCCAAAGGCTTTTTTCTTTACTGTTGCTCTTTCTTCCAGGACTTCACCAGGTAAAAAATTTTCATTTTGAAGTGGTATAGTCTTTGCAAGATCACTATCTTCTGGAGTATTTTCATCACAGTAAATACTTGGTGATGCACTATCTACCAAACTATCTACATCAGTTTCAGTACACTGTTTTTCAGAAGCCATTTCTACTGTCTCTTCTTTTTCATTTTTATCTATTACTTGTACTTTGATTTCAGAGTCAGAAAAATACATGTCCGGACCTTCCTGTATGAAAGCACTCTGAATGCTATGATCCATACTACTTATTTCTTTTCTTCCTTTGTCTATATCTGCATTAAAGAGAAATGAAACATTCTCGTGTAATACAGTTTCATCGGTCACTTCATGTTTCTTTTCTTCAGTTAACTCTAGGTGCTTCAAAGATGAGGATAAAACATTTTCTTCTCTTGCAGAGGTAGTATCTTCATTGTCTTTTGGGCTGTAAGAGAGTATCATAAAGAAGCTCTTAATGTTGCCATTAATACTATGACTTAAATTAAAGAAGCATTCAATTGGAAGACAAGAACACTTAACATCTATTTATTTTTAAGATGCTAGAAATAAACTAAATTAAAATCATTAAAGCTACTCTTCATCTTTCTCTGGCACATCCCTTTGTTGTAACCACAACACCTAACACAATGTTTGACACATAGAAAGTACTCAAACTTTTTTCAAATTGAATAGTTAACGAGAGATTTTCAGTTTAGGTGTTTATTATGCACGGAATGTTAGAGTTAAGGCTATAAATAAAATCTGTCCCGTAGAGGACATCACTTTCCAGGTTTCTTTCTGACCTATTTAAACTTAACATATGTGAAAAGTAGGTCCTGCCTCTATACCTATCTATCATTTGCTACAGAGGAAAATTATTAGCTTCATCTACAAAGTCACAAAGAACCTATCAATTACACAACAAAGAGAAATTAGGGTGAGAAGGGAAAGGTCTAATTTGATATGTAATTTATTAAATTTAAAAAAAAAAATTCTCAGTATCAATTTCAGACTCAGAGTACTTTTGCCTAATCATTACACTTTCAGCTTAAAAGTGGTTTTTCCTAACTCAGTTTGTCAACTCATCTTCCTTTCATCCTTTATTCTAGAAGCTCTCGAAGTCCCAATTCTCCCATGAAACCACCCTAGGTGAAATTATACCTAACACTGAGTTTCCTTGTAACAAATACTATTGTTAAGTCCTTTACATGTATTAATCATAATCTTTATGAAATCCTTAAGACATGAGTGTTGTTATTGTCATTTTACAAATGAAGAGGCTGAGATATACTGAGATTTTGTAAATTGTGAAAGATTATAAACCTTTAGAACTTGAACACAGGAAACATAGTTCAGGAGTCCATGCTCTTAACCACTTAGTAAAATGTTTCTCAATAAAAGAATATTCTTTAATTTTCTCTTGCCCACTCCCAATTCTCCTTTTCAATCATAAAATATGGGCACTTCAAACTGCTATATATTTATTTCAGTTTCTTCTTTCTTCATTTATTTATTCAACTGTTTTTATGTCCTAAATACTAACACAATCAGTACTACCTTGGATTATAAACTTCTAGAAGACTTTGACTTATATCTACCCATTAATGATTAAGAGGTGATATAAGGACATATGAAATGAAAACAGAAAAGATAAGGAAAACACTAGTAGAATAGCAGACAATATTACATAAAGAAAGCAGGAATGTTCATACTATAATCAAAGTCAAATAAAACTCTAGGTCAATGAGAAAACTCTCATATCATCTCTCATATAAATTATTACTTCTCTTGCTAAATAAATATATAAATCTCACTCAAGATAAGATTACACCCTAAGCCCTTAAAAATAATAAAGGTCTCACTTATTTTTAAAGTTAATAGATAGGCATTTCCTAACCTCCAAAATCATGTGTTTTAAAAATTCTATTTGAAAATTGAATTTTTTGTACATAAAAGTGTTTTAACCTACCTAGTACTTCTAGCCTCACAAGAATATGCACACAATTCAATACGTTCAATTTTCTCTGGAACCGAAGAACTCATGATTATTGGCACTGAAACAAAACGCTGATAGTGTTCCAACATTCTTATTATTTTTTCTTTGCTTACTCCATGAATATTACGCCTAAAAATTCCAAGGAAAGAAAGCGTAAAACAAATATTGGGAACACAGTTAAAATTAAAATTGTTTAAAATGCTAATTATATAATGTCAAAAAACACATGGTAATTTTTTTAATATATAAAAAGAACCAAAGTTAGTTTATTATGATACAATACATGTTATTTGATTCTAATTATCATTTTATGCAGGATTTCTTAAATTACCATTTTCTTAATTATTCCACACAATCTTTTCCAAATATCCTCATCAACTTATAAAAAATTAGTAGGCCCCAATAACTTTAAAAGGAGTTATTCTCAAGCTCTGCAAAAATCTCACAAGAACAAAACTGACATTTTAAGGCTTTAATCAATTATTAAGTAGTGAGTAAAAAAATCCCACTACAGAGGCTTATCCTCTGACAGTATGGCAAATGAGATATTGTGAAGGGCCCTCCCATTATAATAAAACTAGATCTCAAATGAATTAAAGCAAGGATATTTCTTAATGTGTCTTAAATCAAAGGAAGAAATTCCTAATGTAAAGCCTCTGAGTGCCCAAATATGAAGTTTTTTATGTGTGCTTTCCCTCATGGTGACTTATTTCTTTGTGTGATTTTGTTTATGAGCTCATATTTGGTTGAACCTAATATATGAGAATCCTTAGGCCTCAAATTGGGTGCTTTCTTTCATATAGCATTTTGGATTTACATCTGCCAGGAGGCCAGATGGTATGCTTTAGTTCCTCAAGGGTCTTGAGAAAACATCTTGGTTGCAAGTCTCCTACCTTAGGTTGGATCCAAAGCTTAGTGTCTGGATACCAGGGCTAATACTAGCATTTGCCACCTGGGCAGAACTGGCTTTCATATTTACCTACCTCAATCTTGTCTGGTTTCAGATCACAGAGAAGCAAAGAGATAGAAAATATGAAAGAGAGGTTAAGAAACATAGAGAACAGAACAAAAAGGTCTTGTATACGTTTAATCTAAGTCCCAGAAAGAGAAAAGAGAATGAATGGGACAGAGGCAACTTAAAGAAAAACGGCTTAGAACTTTCCAAAACTGATGAAAGACATCAATCTCTGATTTAAGAAGCCCAGCAAATCCCAAACAAGATAATTAGAAATCAACAACGAAAATATAGTACTGAAATTTTCATTCAGCAAACACAAAGAGATAATAATAAAAGCAACTAGAAATTTAAAAAACAAACAAAAAAGACCATATCATCTACAAAAGAACTTACAATTAGAATGAAGCTGACTTAACAATAATAATCGTGGAAGTCAGTAATCAGTGAAATATTATCTTCAGAAATAGAAAATTACTGTCAATTTAGAACATATATGCATAACAAAAATACATTGTAAGAATCAGGGCAATGAAAGTATTTTCAGGTTTAAAAAAAAAAAAAAAGCCACCAAGCAGGCCTTCACTAAAAGAAAATTCTGAAAGATGAATGTGAAGCAGAAGGAAATTCTCAAATGAAAGGCCTATGATGCAAGAAAAAGACAAAGCACAAAGTAATAACTACATGAGTGAACAAAATCAAATACTGTGTATATTCTGGACAACAATAGCATGTGAGCTGGAAGAGAGGTTAAGTATGACAGCTGAAATGTTTGAAAAGTCCTAGTATTTGTTAGGGAGCAGGCTAAGAAATAGATTAATTTAGACTTAAAGCTTACATGATAAAATTTGTAAGGTAATCACTAAAACAATAAAAAAAAATAGTGTATACATAGTTGCAGGGGACATCAAGCTCAATTGGCATAATATACAACACAAAAACATTGTTCCACATCCTACTTTGGAGAGTAGCTACTGGGAGCTTAAAAGCTTGCAAGAGGCCATCTAGATACAATGATGGACCTCTCCTCATCCAGAGTAAAGAAGAATGAAGAAAACTAAAGATTCATGGAAACAATTAGTCCAAGAGACTGGTACACCATGTGATCCTCAACCTATATGACTATGAGACCAGAAGAACTAGATAGTGCCTGGCTGTCACTGTCAACCACTCAGAAGAGGATCTATGTAGGAAATCCTGGATAGAGTGGGAGAACAATGTAGAACAAAACTCAAAATCATTTTAAAAAAAAAAGAAAAGGGGGGGGGGAGCAGGTTTGCTGATCTGATAGAACCTGGTGGAACCCCTGAGACTATGGCCCCTAGCTTCCCTTCAGGTCTGGAACTGAACCCACTCCTGTAGCTTCCAAACAAAAGACTGGCATATGAACTGTACATTTAAATTAGGTAGATACACTCCTTGGAGAGATCAATCATGGGAGAATAGAAGGGCTATTTATGCACAGGAAGACAGCTTGAGAGGCAGAAGTGCATGGGAGGGAAGGACACAGGGAGGAGGTGGCTATGGGGAGGAAGTGGGAGGAGAGCTGTTGCATTGTGGGAGACTACAGTCAATGTCATGAGACAAAGTATATGTGAACTGCTGTATGGAAGATAAATTTGCTCTGTAGACTTTCACCCAAATCACAATAAAATTTAAAGAAAGGAAAAATAGTGTGTATTATTCTCAAATTAGTAGAGAAGAAAAAACTGACTAAGAAAATTTGTATTCACCAATAAAAATTCAAAATAACACATGAAAGAAGAAAAAAAATCCAAATATATCCCAAAAAAGGTACTAGAGGAGAAAAACCAATCATAGAAAAAATGAGATTAAACAGACAGAACACAGTGCAACAGTAAGAAACAAGACCAATTATATAAATAACCAAAATCATCATGACAGAATTAAGCTCATCAGCTGAAAGCCAAAAATTGGGTTTTTTTAAAACCCAGTCATGTCCTAGTTGTAAGATAGACCTCAACACAAGAACATTGCAAAATTTTCAGTAAAAATATGGAAAAAGATATAACACTAAAATACTAATTTAAAGGAAGCTGATGTAGCTCTGTTTATACTAGATAAACTGGACTTTATGATAAAAACTGGCATTAAAGATAAAAGAGCAGTACTACAAAAGGGTAAAAGATTCAATTCATTAGAGTAATATAACAATCCTAAACTTATATGCACTTAAACAAAATATCTTCAGAGTATATAAAGCAAAAATCGGCAGAAGTAGAATGAGAAATTGATATATTTAATGAAATAGTCGGAGATTTTAAGATATCTCTCTCACAGTGGTAGATTATCATCCTTCTCTTAAATAATGATCCATCAAGCCAATTAAAAATAAAAAAGTAGTAAAGATAATGGACACATGAGCATCAGAATTAATAAGCACAATTTAATGATGTATTATCACCTTGTAAGCAGGACAGATACTTGTCAAGCAAACATGGAACATTACTTTAAAAAAAAACACAACTGACAATGAACTAGGACATAAAAGAAGTCTTAAAATATCAGAAAATTAGTATCACACAAACTATACAATGGGACCTAGGGCAGTAAATTGAAAACAAATTTGAAAAAAAAAAGATACATTTAAAAACATGGATCTAAATAACCCAGGAGTTAAACAATAATATTAATCATAATGTATTTTACTAAACACTAAAAGGTAACAAAAAGTTTACAGTAAATTCTGGGAACAGCTAAAGTAGTACTTAGAGGGAAACTTATAGCATCAAATGCTCATATTAAAAAAAATATTTAAAACAAATTATCAAAAAAATAAATGATCTAAATTTTCAAGTAAAGCAGTTTAAAAATAAACAAAATAGAATTACTTAAAAAGTAGAAATGAATTAATCATAAAACAAACAGAAAATTAAACAAGCCAAAGCTGTTTATTTGAAAAAGCTAATAAATAAATTTTGACCTCTAATAAGAATCATTGAGATCAAGAAGATAAATTTAAGCCACACTAGGAGAGAAAGGCAAAGTACAGATGGTACAGAGAGTTAAAGATAAGAAAAAGAACTGTTTCAATAAAGCTGTAATTAATTTAAAAAGTTAGGTATAGTGGACAAACTCCAACTGAATATTTTCACAAAGAAAACAGATCAGACAGTGTTCTAAGGCAACCCAATCACACATTCAAATTTACATAACTTGGAAAAGAGCAAACACTTCCCAACGTATTTTACGAAACTTCTAAAACTGTGACAACCAAAGCTAAGCAAAGCAATACAAGGAAGAAAAACTGTAGATCGATCGATCTCCCTCGATTATGTGAACATCAGAAAATCCAAACAGTAATGTATAAGGAATAATACACAAAGCAAGTATAGAAACATGCTACAACATGGATGAACCTTGAAAACATTAAGCTAAGGAAGACAGTCAGTCACAAAAGGCTACATATTATATAACTAATTCCATTTAAATGAAATGTCCAAAATTGACATATCCAAAGAAACAAAAAGTAGAATAGTGGTTGCCAGATAATAAGCGGAGCTAAGAACTGAGAGTGATTCCTAATGGACGTAGGGTTTCTGCGGAGAAGGAAACATTCTGGAATTAGGTAGCAGTGATGATTCACAACACTGTGAATATACTAAAATTATGTTGTCCTCTAGTTAGTATAGAAATTAGTATAGAAATCACTAGGAAGAAATGCCCTGACCAAAATTAAATTAGGGCTATCTCTAAGGAAATACAGAGCACAAAGCCAAATACACTGTGTGTCCACAACCTGAATGACATTTTTGTTCAAGTCAAGTAATCAAATAAACAAAAAAGTATAACCTTGGCAGGGGTGGGGAGGAGGGAGCTAAAATATCTGGACAGCTGGACATTTGCTACCTTTTTTATCTCTACCTCCTTCCTGTATTCCTCAGTCCCTAGGCAGCTAGACTCCTTCTCTCTCCCAGTAGCACATGGCTTAGGTGTGCGAAATCCTAGGGTCTGTTCTAGTTTCAGATATTAATGTTGTTTTTGTTATGTGCCATCGAGTCAGACCCAACTCATAGCGACCCCTCCTTGGATTTCTGAGGCAGTTATCACTACGGAAGTAGATTGCCCCATCTTCCTTCCGAGGAGTGGCTGGTGGGTTTGAACCTCCAGCCTTCTGGATAGCAGTCAAGTGCCTTAGCCACTATGCTACCAGAGCTCCCAGATATTAATCCTACATGTTTAAAAGGTAATAAAGTACTGACTACACAAGACAATCAGATTTTTTTAATACTGTTAATAAAGATTAGGAATAAAAATATATAAATTCTTCATAAAACTGGAAAAATGAAAGAAGACTCTAAGCAACATAAAACTTATAATTTTAAGTGGCAAAGCTGCAATCTAATCCATTTTGCTTCATTCGTCATTTATAAAGGGGAAAGAAAATCTTGATGAGCTTTTTATTACTGTCATGAAATTAAAAACAACAGATATCCTCTCCAAGCTTTACCTTGCAAGTTCCTTTGGTTTAAACTTCCACCAAGTGTCTGGTTCCCGGAAAAGGACTTTATACTTATGTTTTTGAGACTATATAAAAGAGAGATAAAAACATTTAGAAATAATTATTTCCATGAAATTGAATTCATTTTTTCCAAATTCACAGCATGTTAAAACTGACAGAATCTAAAAGATTATCTAACCTAGATGAATGTGTCAAACTGATAGAAGTACCTCTTTGATTCAGTAATTAACTTCCAGAATTTATCTTACTGATATTTACATAAAAGTGTCAAAATAAACATACATCAGGATATCCAGTTCACCATTATTTATAATAGCAAAATAATGCAAAGAATTTGTGGCTATTCATATGGAACTGACTAAATAAATGAAGGTACAAACATCCAATGAAAATATTATGGAGTTATTTTTCAATTCTGTATATATTAGTAAGAGTCTTAAATTAAGAAAATAAGATACAAACTTTCATTTGCATAAAAAAGGATTACTCACACATTTGTATAAATGCAAGACATTTCTAAATTCTCAAAATATTAAAACATCTTTCTTTAGGGAGTAGAACTTTAGACATCCTGTCTTGTGGTATGAATTTTTATCATATATGTGCATGATTTTTAAAATTTTTTTAATTATTTTAAATAATAGTTGGGCTTTTGAAAACTTAATATGGCTATAACCTAAAAGGCAAGCCTTACACTTGAACACTTGGATACATCTCTTTCGTACTTAAGGATAACTGAGTTTAGCAATTCCCTTCTGTCTCTGAGGCATCATTAATTCTTTCCCTCTCGCCTAAATCATACCCGGCAATAGACATGCAGTCATTTCTCTTACTCATGATTCCACCTCCCCTACCAGCCCGCCTGCCATTCCTCTGTTCCTCTTTGTAGCAACATGTCTTCAAAAGTTATCTATACTCACTGTCTCCAACAGCTTGTCTTTTAGCTCTCTTAAATATACCACAATTGGCTATTCCATTGAAATTGGACATCAAGACCACATATTATACCCACAATGAAAAATGTTATGGTTAGTTATCTGTTTTCTCTTAGTTAACACAGTTCATTACTCCCTTCTCCTTACACTTTCTTCAATACACAATCTTGCTTTTCCTCCACTCCACTAAGTGTTTTTCTCAATTTTGTTTTGTGTTGTATTGTTTCTCTACTACTTTTTTCACCCAGACTTCTTCACAGTAGAGAACCCCAGACTCAGACCTGGGTACTTCACTCTTGATATATATTCACTTACTTGGTAATTTAACCCCACCCCCTGGCTTTAAATATCACCCATATGCTAGTTACTCTCTTAAACACACACACACACACACATAATCCATCCTCCATATCCATAGGTTCCACATTTAGGGATTCTACCAATTGTGGATTGAAAATACTGGAGATGAGGGGACAGAGACTAATTAAGTAGTCAAAGCAATCCCCCAAAGGCTAGAGAGTGTGCATAAAGTGTTATTTACATTGTATTATGTATTATAAGTGATCTAGAGAGGATTTAAAGTACACACACACAAAAAAAAAAAAAAAAAAAAAAACCACTGCTGTCAACTTGATTCAACTCATAGCAACCCTTCCTTGGGTTTCTGAGGCGGTATCTCTGGCCTAAGGTATCTGACTGCTAACCCGAAGGCTGGCAGTTCAAGCCCACCAGCCACCTCTCAGAAGGAAAATTGGGCAAACTACTTCCGTAGCGATACCACCTCGGAAACCCAAGAAGGGGTTGCTGTGAGTCAGATCCAACTAGACAGCAGTGAGTTTG